CACCTGTCCTCCGAGAGGCCTGATCCTGCGCCTCTTCATGGGGAAGTGGAGCCTTACTCCCGCAGAGAGTATTTGTTTAAGAGGATTTCCTTTCTCATGGAGGGACAGCAGTAGCCATGCCAATAAGGGTGAGAGCGATTATGAGAGATTGACTGGTGGAATATAATCCCTCTGCGATGCTGATCGGATCTGGTGAAGATTGAGTTTCAAAGGTAGCAGCTCATCCTACTCCAGGAGTGGCATTCCACCCATAAATAGGGCTTTAATGAGATCCGACAGGACTGATTTCTCTGGTGATACAGTAAAACAACACAACCAATTCTGATGGTTTGAGGTCCTGACCTTTAACAAGGACTGGCGACGTAGGGCAAACTGCCCAAGAGAGATGGAGGGGCAGGAGGCCAGGGGGACAAGGTCGGCAGATAATGAAGTGGTCAGCATTGGATTTCTGTCACTCATGGTGGTTAAGTACAACAGTGAGGGACTTCAGTATAAGAAACTGTGAAAGAGCACATAGAGAAAATAACAGAGACTGGGGAATCTGGGGAGGATTTCAGTTACCTTTCACTGTGAACTCGAACAGTCTGAGTGACTTTGGTAATGAAGCAGATGAGTGCAGAAATCATGCAAAGAGAGTGAAAGAACAAGGAGGGAGCAAGAGAGATTAAAGCGAACAGAGAAGGAAATCCAAGGGGACCCATCATTTGAGCAACTGCTGCAATCAGGTGCTGAGACTCAGAGAAAGAAAAGGAAGCAGCTGCAGCAGCAAAATAGAGGTCTAGACCAGAGGTGACTGAAGACGGAGCCCTTGGTTTACCCAACCAGCATGTGGCAGCCGTTTGTGGCCATCCTGTTGTTCCTGCCCTCCCCAGCAGGTGAAGATGCTCCTGAGTGCTGCCCTGGCCGAGGACCTGCTTACAGCAATGGTTGTCGACCTGATGGCCACTGAGAAGCAACACCCCGACCACGCGTCCTTCAGCCAAGGTGCTTCAAACCTCAACCTGTCCCTGGTGCTGGGAACTTCTCTGGGGTGGCAGGGGTGGCTTGTCTCCTTTCAAGTTCCTTTGTGCTGCTAGATGTAAATTTAGTGGGACTATTAGCTAAAAAACCAACCCATTTGGTATCAGACTACCTGCTGTGAATTAAAAGAGCAAAATGGTGAAATATAGAGGAAACTAAGACCTATTATTCCGAAGGCACTGACAGGTGATTGTGTCCGAATTTAAGATCTGTTTCCTTTTCAAGTGTCCTCCTTTAGACCTGGTTTAAATAGAAATATGTCATTACAATTTTGCTAATACATCTATCTAGGCTACAACTGATAGAAATTAAATGCATTTGACCAAAACACTGAAGAATTTTGTTACTGCACAGCAACCCCAAAATTAAGCTGACCAGAAACAAAAGTGAAAATGGAAAGTCTAGACATGTTATGCATGTCCAGACATGAACAGGATGCTAGATAGGATGCTAAAAGCAACCAAAATGATAAGTGATGAGCAGGAAAATATATTTTAAAAAGACTTTAGACTCAGTAGCCCAAGCTAATTTTATTTACATGAAGAAAAAAATAATGTAAGTATTGTTTTAGCATTGCTGATCCATTTAGACATGTTCAAACTGCAAGGCCTACAAAGAATAAAATCATTAAATCAGATGTGTACAGTAGTTTCTTATACAGAGTAAAATAACATTTAGTCTCAGCTATACAACTATAAGAATGGTTGCAGAAAGTGACCTGCATCTATATTGGCTTCAGTCAATGAAAGGTTTGCTCTTTAGTTGTTTTTTCTTTATTTGGGTGTCTTATTGTTGCTTTTTTTCTTTTGTAAATGTGAACATTGAAGCCAGGCAACCTGTTAGAGAGGTGAATTGCTTGATTACACTGCATTGTTTTAATTTGTCTTTGGATGAATTCTCATAAGCTTTCATGAGAAAATCTCCCATTAGAAGCATTCATTTAATTTAAGAACAGTTGGGAGAGGAAGGGTTGAGATGACAGATGGAGACTGTGGGTGTCTTATAAGAGAGAGCTGAGCTTTTTGTATTTATCTTTTTGTGGCACATAGTTGCTGTTCTCTGCTGCTTCCAATTTTTTAATCTGTGCTTTTTTGTGCAGTATTTCTTAGAAATCTCTCCTCTTTTGTACTGTAAGTCTAATAGATTTCATTAGTTTTTCCTGTACTGTGTCAGCTTTAAAACATAGCAATATAACACAGTATAGGGATGCAGCCTGGTAAGAAAGCAGAATAATATAGGCTGAGGCTTAACATGTAGATTTCAATCCAGTTTTGAACTGCATAGTATTTAGCAGAAAAACATACTGAAATATAGAACTGATTTCTTCACTAAATCATCTTACTGCTTGTCCGGCAAGTGGTATGCGCGTGCTGAAGACAGTTTTCTAGCTGTGCCAATGCCGTCGCTATGTAATTAAAGGTTCACTGTCAGAAAGTGGCCTAAATCTCACATTTAACTTTTATATAAATTAGTATAAACGTAAGTATAAGGTTTCAAAGCATTGATCTTTAAAAGGCACGTATATAAAAATTGTAGGATTTCTGAATGTAAATGTGCACTGTTAATGTTTGTGGCCCAGGCAGTTCAGCTTGCAAAAGCTGCATGAAAATCAAATACCTTTAACAGTGTAGGCAAGCCAGTAATAGAAATTAGGACAGTAGCTTTGTTTTATAAATACCTAAAATATCAACATAGGCAAATACAAATTCATTCATATGAAGAGTTCAGCTGCTGACAATATTTTGATAATCAGGTCCCTGATTTGTGACTTATACCTCTGTTAACGGTCTTTAAGTTATAATGACAAATAATTTGTAAGTTGTAATGCCTATGCATTAGGACTGCCAGGCCCCGTCACAGAACTAATTAAAATTTAAAAGTAAAATTAAATCCTGTTAAAGTAAGATGGAAAACAGTGAAATGTTTGTTTTATATAAAAATTGCTTTGCTCTGCAGTAGAAGAAATAAGCTATAAATATAGGGCAAAAATTTCAAACATTAGTCTGACTTTTTCTCACTATGTTACACATGAATTTATTTGCATCTATATGTGCTATCCCTAAATTTGCATTGCACATAACAAACCAGTTGATATGAGAAGCAAAGTACATTCATTAGATTTTTGTTACTTTTCCATGGAGTTTTTGACTTAATATGACCAAACCAGAATTCCAGTTTTTTCCTTACCCTTCACAATTTCTGAATTATTTGATCATTCTCTGCTCAAATAATAAAACCTCTTTTCCAAGGCTCCGTCATCTCTTGCTTTGATTACCGCAGCCACTTCTTTTTGTCATCCCACACATTTCAGTCCATATAAAATACATTGCCATAACAGTCTTTCTTAGTATTTGATTTGTCCGTTTTATCCCTTCAGATCTCTTGTTCTTTCTCCATCTCTCCTTCCTAACAAGTCAAGCTTCAAGTTCACCACCTCCAGTCCTTCCCCTTCCTGTTTAAGTTCATGTTCCTGTAGTCTCTCCATCAGCTTCATCAGAGATTCAACCTCTACACTTACTTCTTTTATTCTTTTAATCTCATAAAAACTTCTCCATACTTTCTTCCATCTGTATCATCTATATTACTTCCCACAAACTAACTGCAAAGCTTCTGCTTTCTCCTCTCTGAAGTCTGCACTGGACCTCACGACTTGGCTTTTCTTTCTTTAAGCTGTAGTCTCTCATGACGATATCGGAGCTGTATTCCATCACCGTAATGCTGCGCTCATTAAGGACCTACGGGGTGAGCTTGATTCAGCCACTGCTGGTGCTGAAAGGATAGGAATGGACTCATTTGCTCCGTGAGAAAGGGCAGCATCCCACTTTACTCCGGGATGGTTGGCAGTGTCGCACGGCTGCCTTTCCTCTTGCAGTCTGCAAGGAGATATCTCATCCCAGTTAGCTCCCTGGGAGCCCTGACCTGCTCCTCCCCTTGTCAATACTCCAGCTCTGTAGGACACACTAACCGGCTTCCAGCTTCCTCCTCCTTCCTCGGGGCGTTGCTGGCTCCATTACAAACTCCTCTCCAGTAGATTTTCTAATGTCAGCTGCGCCAACCCTGGAAACCGTTATCCTGTGACCCATTGTCTTCATGAACAGATGGGTAGACAGGGACATTCCTACATCTGTCTTTTCCTGCTGTCCTGATTTATTACTCTGTAAAATAATAAAACGTTAAAAAGGTTGAACCTGAACTGAAGCTATGACTATGACCCTATTAATCAAACCATTGGAGAATTACTTTATATTAGGTGCCTTACGCACTGATCCAGTCCACTAAAAGTTGGCCTGAAACATAGTCTAAATACTGAGTATTGGGCCCAGGAAAAGCAATTCTTGATTGCTTTGTGTTTTCTTACAGTGTATGACTGTACAATGTAACAGAGCCCAAAGCAGCACTAATGTAAGCAATTCAAAGAGGAAGGCAACTAGAAGCTGTCCCGATGCGCTGAGGAGGAAGCAGACAGCTATAGGAGAGCTCCTCAGTCTCCTCCTGACACAGGGTGATGCCGCCGTGTTTCTAAGCACCTTTCGTACAGCAAGATTTCATAACGGGGTGCATCATTTAGAGAACCATTATGTATGTATTTTGAATTCTGAAGTCCTTCCCAATGCAGAGACACCTCTGGACTGGAAAATGGGAGCATGAACATGATGGCGTCAGCTGGCAGTTTCAGGCAGAATGAGCCTACACAGCATCTCGCCAACTTTTTGAAACTACTTTTGGTGAGCCATAACTCTTAAAACTTTCCATACATTCAAGACTTGAAACAGGCTCTGTGGTGGTCACTGGTTCCACACTGGAATGAGAAGTGTCTCCAGCCAGCAGAGGCTGGGGCTGGAAAATCTGTGCTGCTTCTCCATGCCAAGCAAGTAACTCTCGCACCAGTCCTTAGTGGGATCTCAGGGGAAAGGGGCTGAAATCAAATAATTGCTTTCTCTCTGTGAAGTAGTTATTTAAGTACTGGACATGTTTACGCCATGAACCCTTCCCACACCGTTCCCATTTCCCATCATGAAGAGCTGGTGGCGCTGGTGGCCCACGCTGTAGCAGGGCCAGCATGCGGGGCCAATGTGCGGGGCCGATGTGCAGGCTCGGCGTGCAGGGCCGGCATGCAGGCTCTTCAGGCTCTCCTGCTCTGCCAGCTGTCACAAGCGTCTCTTATCTCAGCCATCGATGCCACGCTTGCTTGATGTCTCAGTTCCGGAGCAGAGATGCTCCAGCTGCTATCTGGGAAGGCTCTGGCCCCAAAAATATTTAGTTAGCAGCCATTCAGTTAAGTGGAATTGACTTTTTATCGGCTTTCCTCTGTACGTCTGCCACCAGCGAAGGCCGTTTCCTCCTTCCCTCTTCTCTGCCTGTCAGCCCGCTCCACATTCCTATCGGCAGCCGTTAGCTCTGATCAATACTAACCACTGTGTAACAGCTCACGCATGGCTGCCTTAGTTTGCATCGATCAGACCCTTCTTCCAACAGGTAGCCAGCTATTTGAGGCAACGACTTGAGATAAACACCTACTTTTACTTCAGGCTAATTCATTATGGAGGGGTTTCAAGGAGACCCGGTGCCCTACTTCAGAGACTCGCAGAGATCAGACTCACAGCAACTTTTCTCCTGCACAAGATTATACAAGACCATCTTATTTTCCCCATCCCTTCTGAAATCCAGCCTGTAAAAACAATGCTATCCAAATACTTTCAAAGGACCTAGACTGAAAATTAAATGTCAAACTATTCTAGTTAGGAGAACTTGGTGGTTTGGAAAATTAAGAACATGAGTGCTGATTAGAAACGGGGATGGGATGACCAGCTGGGCAGTAGGCGTCTTGTGACTGTCCTGCCACAGCTTCTCACTGGCAGACCCCCTTCTGTTGCAGTTTGGTGTCCGGGGGCCGTGTCCCCATGAGCCCTGCGTGCTCCGGCAGGACGCAGTGTCGCCGGCCTCCAGCAGAGCCAGCCCTGACCCAGCACCTGGGCACCGGCCACAGCTCCCGTGGGGCTGGCTGGGAGCCACGGGGCACCCGCGGGAGAAGGCTCACTGCTGAAGGGGTATAGCCTAGAAACTGTATCAATACCAGCAAACAGTCAGCATCCTGATAAATCAGATGATTTTGCTGAAGCATAAGGCACACAGACTCCAGGATAGCACCTTCGGGCCATCTGTCCTGTTTAGACACCATAACGTAACATGGAGATAAAGCGCTATGAACATTGATAGGAGGAATCTCCGCAAAACTGACCAGCAAACAGCAGTATGCTGGCAATCTTACTTCTCCTATACTTCCTGCTGTCCCAAAAGCTGCCAGCATTTAGGAAAGTAGCAACCGTTCTGGAGGAATCCTAACAGATGTCTTTGCACAGACACGCTCACTCCACGTACACCCTCCTGAACCAGACCCTGCTTTGCAGGCTTGGGGAGAGGAGAGGAGCACACACAAAAGCAAGTGCCTTTGCCAAAGGCAAAGATGCAGTTCTTAACCTGACTGCTAAAAAGCCTGTAGATCAGACACGTCCAGCCCGGAAAGCCTCTTGGAGAAGTTACAAACGCCTTTTCTGGTTAGTTGATACCTGTGCCAGTTACAGAGGCAGAAGGGCTGCAGGGCTGCTACGGCAGCTACAAACTTTCCAGTGAAGTGAGTGTTTATTATTATAGGTTTGATGCCCTTCCCTAAAGGACCTAATCAACAAGCAGTAAGGCCTCAAGAGAGCAATTAGAAACCTGAACTTTAACTCCCTCATAACCACAGTGTAGAAAGCAACTTTTGCTTTGGTTTTGGGTATGCAGCCTGGTATGTTACTGAGGAAGAAATACTGAAAATCTGAAATATAAAATAATTGCAGACGGGTATTTGAATTTGAACAACGAGGTACAAGATTAGTTTCTATGGCAGGGTAAATGTGTGCCTGGCAAAAAAGCATTAATGGTTTGGGGAGATTCATGCCCAAATATACAGCCTCTATCATATCCAGTTTTTTTCAATGCTTCTTCCTAGCTTTAGACAATCACTGAGGATGTTTGCTGCCTGCATACTTCCAGCATCTGTCCCTCTTTAAAAAAAAAAAAAATTATCTTGGTTTTCCCACTTGTAAAATAACAATAATATCTGACTAAATGCAGAAGCTTGAGATGCTTGGTTTGTTTGAAGCTTGTTTTGAATACTTTGGATAGGACATTTCAGACAGGAACTGCACATTGAGTAATTCTTGCCATAGAAAGTCACATGGCTACTGGAAAGCAAAAAACTGCATAAGAATAAATCTGCGTAGCACAGCTGCATCAGTGAGTATTGACCAAGAGGGCTAATATTCCTTACTGCCTGCCTGAGAGTATGGAGGAAGCACTTGACTTTGCAGGTCTTTACGCAGAGCCATGGCAACGCTAACATGCACCCACAGATTGTTAACGTTCTTGTTATTTGAAACTTAAGAGGTGTGTTTCTAAAAAATGTCACAGAGTTAAAGTATTTTTTTTCAGTTTTTTTTTTTTCCAAATACCGTATTTGAAGGCCATTTCTCCTGGCAGAATGCGTGTCTGTATGTAGAGAAGAGAGCTGTGATTGTTGCACATTTCCTTTTCAACAGGAACTGTAGAGAGAAAGCAAGTACTATTGCAATACAAGAAACCAAGAAGAAAAAAATTTTCATGCACCTATAAGACTAGTTGTCCATTTTGAATTTCTTGACTCTTCAGCAGCCTTAGTGGGTTTCTAGATCACAGCAGGATGAGCAGACTGACCTCTGTGTAGTGGTAGTCAAAGTCTTGTGAGACGAGTATGAAGTGCATAATTTTTTTTACATTATTGCCTATTGCAAGTCCTCCCTTTCCAGTGAGTGTGGGGTTAGGGGTAACTAAGCCTGCTCAGCAAGTCTACAGCACGCATCTCCATTGCATGTCCACCAGAACTGGCCCTGCTTGGCGGAGGCTTAAACCAAACAGGATGAAACCGATGCTGGCTGACTAGGAGAAACAGCTGAAGAAGTTGGCAGTGGCAATGTCTGCTGCTCCACTGACAAGGACAGCGCATGTCTTCCAACACTGCCTCTTCTGACTAACTCAAAACTAGTATCTTTCCTGTTGTGCAGTTGCCAATGCAGAAGTAAAAATAATACTGAGTAAACAGTGAGAACCAGGAGAGATATCGCTGTAAGGATGAAGCAGAAGTACTGCTTAATTGTTCGTGGGAGAGAGAGAGCAGGGATATCCCTTCACTGAAGTGAGTGTCATGCTATCAGGAATGATCAATATCACATGGAAATGGGATAAAACTCTGGGAGCACACTGTAGAGCAGTGTCCAGGGGAGACACTTTAATGAGTCCAGTTTTATGACTACTTTAATGAGTCTAGAGTCTAGTTTTCTCTGGAAGGTACATAAAGCCGACAGGCGCTGGCAGCATGCATATGGCTTGTCATGGCACTCGGCTGACTGCAGTTACATATAGGTACACAAGGCTTTTGCAGCCAACAGTTACAGAGCTGTCGAGGTGAAGCCCTGCTCTCTTTGGAGGTGGGAGCACTGAACCTAGACCAGAGCTGCATGCTTCCCTGCAGCTCAGACTCGCAACTGGGGGTGCTGGTGATGCCCTCCATGGTCCTGTACTGAGCCCAGGATGCCATGGTCTGGCGCAGGAGCTAGAAGGGCTCTGTCCCTGCCAGCTGTGGTGCCAGGGGAGAGGGGAGAGCTGAGCAGACCCAGGAGCCTGAAGATGGAGGTGAGCTTTTAGATATTCCAGCCTTAAACAAACTTAAGGTCTTGAAAAACTTCATTTGATGTATAAAATGGAGTCAGCAGAGGGAATGAAATGCAGGGCCACTATACTGTCTGTGGAAAAAGGAGCTGCTGGGGTTTTGGTCCAGATGCAGCTGGTTCAATGACACTTCTCAAAACCCATAGTCCAGGCGCACCGGCTCTGTCCAGGGCCACATGTAATGCGGGTATGGATTAATAGAGGCAAGTTATCACTTGTAGGTGTGAGAGGTTGTCTACTGTGTCCTTATCAATGTAAGAATAGACATTTTTGGGGATAACGCTGTATGTTTCCAGTATGAAGAAGGTAACCAGAGGAACCTTAACTTCTCAAATAATTCCTATTCTGAGGGGGTTCTGAGTGCTGTCCCCCTAAGTAGGTTTAAATGCTTTTATGTTTCAGTTGTTCTGGCACTGCTCACATGGTCCTGTGAGTGACCATGTAAAAACTGAGGAGAAGCCTAAAACTAAGCATGCTGATGTTGCTCCCTTATTCTCTTGCGCCTCCTAAATGTCCTGGTCTTGGCATTATCTTGAGCACTAAATGTGGATAGACATGCTTACAAAGAGCTTTTTGCTGATTTCTTAGTTAACGTCTTCAAAAATGGGAATTTTGCAAATGGATTAGTTCTTCAGCATCCACTTAGGATTTTTTTAGACTCATCTTTAATGTGTCTTCAAAGACAGAAATGCAATTTCCTCTTTTGATTGCGTGTTGGCCATCTTTGTTCACCATTTGATTAGAAGAGATAGGAAGTGATCTTTATTAAACTGTTTATAATGTGTGAGCTTCCTCCTTGCTACTTCTGAAGAAGAACTGGCAGGAAAATGCCAACTTTAGTGGTCAGAGACCACTGTGGGACTTGGACTGAGAGGCACAACACACTCATTTTAGAGTTATTCTTCCAGGGCCTCTGCAGACTCCAGCAGACATCAGTTTATGCACCGCTAATGTAATCAAGGTTGTAGCTGTAGCTGTAAAGAATAATACAAGAAAGAGGTTGTATTATTATTTTTTACTCAAGCTGAAATTTCTGAACAGTAATACAATAAAATGCAAATCCTACAGCCATAGATTCACAAAAGGCCTGTGCTCTTTGCCCTAGGACTAGTGGTGTGAATTTTGCAGCACAGCTCTAACCCCAGTTCCTGAGTGCAGGTTTGCTGCCTGGCTGCTGCCTGCTGCGCCTGCACAGTGCACAGATTATGGCACGGCAAAGCAGAGGGAATCACGGACTGAGCTGCCAGTCTGATTCAGAGTGGATGGTCAAATGAAAGGTGGGAAACTGTTACATTTATGTGAACAATCAAAGGAGTTTGAGGGGACTCACTTCATTTTATATAGTGAGGAGGCTTCCCTTGCTGTTGTCCATCCAGTGGGAAGTTCCAGTTTGAGTGTGCCAGATTTCCCTAAGTATAACTTGAACCTGCTGTTCAAATGTTACTGTCAGGCATAATGTAGGTTGTTACACTGAGATTTGTTGTTGTTATTGTTGTTGTGGTGGTGCTGTTTAGATGACACTGCAAATGAGATAAATTGTAGCT